TGAAAGCTCATAACTTCATTTCTCTAATCTTACCGATTTCCTATGGCCATTTTGCAAAATATATTGGCATATTGGATCTGTTGTCTTCAGGAAATAGTTTTCAAGGCATTTTTGGCTCTTTTGGATTGTAAGTGGTATGGCAGCTTTTGCCCTGGAAACTGTATCTTGGGTTATTTTTCTCTAAATCTCCTCCTTTAGAAATTATTTCCTTCCTCTTGGTAACTTTTTTGGTGATCTTGTTTCACTGCCTATAAAATGTTCCATGTAATTTGATCTTACTCTTAGTTTATTTAAAAGTGGGGTGAAAGTAGTCCTGGTCAACACTGTTTATGGTTCTCTATTGATATGCTGTTTACTATGAGTATTTAACAGTTCTTTAAGGAGAATTTTGAGTATCTACAATGTCTGTCTCCTTAATGTTTAGGATACAAGGATGCTTTCTTTTCCCTCTAAGTTTGTCTAGTAGGAGATAGTTATATGTAACTATGAAGGTAGGGATCATGCATATTTAACACAACCCAGGGACTAGACAGTTCCTTTCCTACAGTCCCCCATTGCATTGTGTTTGTTCCGAATCATAGAGACCCACCCTACAGGATAGAGACGGACTGCCCCTTCGGGTAGCCAAGACTGTAGATCTTGGCAGAGCAGAAAGCCTGATCTTTCTCTTGCCCAGCGTGTAACCCACCCACGGTGCCATCAGGGCTCTTTGACAGTCAGTAGGAAGGACTCCCCGCTAAGGCACATTAAGTGTTCTCTCAACACTGTATCTTGCAATCATCCTTCTGTACGCTGGGGGTGTCATCAAGAAGTTCTTGGAAAAATAGAATTAAAGATAAATGTAATTTTCCCATGAACTTTTGAAGTTTCCTCATGGGTTAGGAAGATCACTGTGACTACAGTATGGCGAATAGATCACCAGCCTCCAGACTAGAAACAAATAGACTAGTGAGACAGCCGTCTAAGTAAGTCTGAGTGGTGCTGTGGGATGTGTTGGGCTTTTAACCACAAAGTCGGTGGTTCAAAGATAAAGGCTGTTGAGGCTGACCCCATAAAATTTACAGTTTTCGGGGGCCCTATAGAGCAGGCCTGTTCTGCTTTTACAGGGTTGCTATTAGAATCAGTGGCAGTGGTGTGTGTGTATGTGTGTTCTTTCTACTGGCCCTCGTGGAAAGAAGTGCAGTCGATGGAATTCAGAGAGAATATGGAGGTGATTTGGTTTGCACCTGGATAGTAGTAGTCGCTGATAGAACCTGGAAGAGGAGGGTCAAGTTTGCTTCTGTTTTGCTTGACTGGATGTTGGGGGAAGGTAAGTGGAGACAGCAGTGTGGACATTCTTACGTTAAATACAGTTTGAGATCCTTCTGTCTGTCCAGTGGAGAGTGGTGACTGAGCTGGTGGTAGAAGTTAGAGACATAGAGGCAGTAGTTGGAGTTTGGGTGTTAATGGTGAAGTAGTCAGTAACAGAATGCTGTGAGAGAGATGTGATTTTCCAATGAGAGGAAATAAACTTAATACAGTGGAAGAGATTTATAGCTTGAAAAATATATTCAAGAAGTACAGATTTGATATTCAAATAAATGCTTTGTTTGAAAAAATCCTTGTCCTTTTTTTCTTTCTAAAACAGTACAAGCCATAGAAAATTAAGTCTAAAATTTTGATTGATGGAGAGTCTGTTTTGTAGGGGCCACAGGGTTGTTTCTCTTTGTATTGTATCACAAGGGCCTGAGGTTCTTAAGTTATCAGAAGGAGTTGTGGGTTTACAAAATAAGATTGAGGGGAAAGGCCATAGGTAAGAAGCACAGACGATCAGAGAAGACAGGGTTATAAGTGAGACCAATTAAAATGTTTGAAAATGTTACCACTGGAGAAGAAGTGAGGATGAAGCTGGATCTTACCTAGTGGTGACATACATGGAACGGAATTGAGAAATTTAGGTCTTGTGCTAATAATGGCAAGGTCAGCTGTTCAAATCCACCAGCTACTCCTCTGGTAAAGATCTATAGTCTCAAACTCGTGGTCTAAGGTCACAGTGAATCCGAATGGATTCAAGGGCAGTGGGCCTCAGAGTTTTATAGGCGGCAAACTGAGAAGATACCAGGGCCATGTGTTGAGACTGGGACTGTTAGGGTGCAGCTTGGGGCAGACTGAGAGGTGGTTCAATTTATAAAAAGTTAAAGTTGAGGTTTCCCTGAAGTATTCAGGTGGTAGGTACCAGTCCTGTTGACTACTTAGGACTATGGAGAATGACAGTTTTTCACTTTTTAAAACAGCAACTAATAATAACGTAATGTTCTCGTTAAGGCATATTTGTTCTACTGCAATCTTTATTATGATCTTCCATTCTATCTGATCACAGTGAATTTCTTCAAAACAAAACAAATGAAAAAACACTAGTCACCATTGAATGGATTCTGACTTTTGGCAGCCTTGTGCTTCTTAAAGTAGAGCACCAGTCCTTTCTTTAAGGTACCTCTGGGTATACAGAACCACCAGTTTTTGGGCTAGCAGCTGAGTACATTAACGGGTTACTTTACCCAGTGACCTTGTATGTTCATGATTTAGACTGTAAGTGTGTTAGACTCTCTGGCTTTTTGAATCCACGTACTGATTATTTGTTTTGTTGTACCTCCCTCCGCTACTTAGTGGAAAACAGGCCAAAAGGAACACACACCCCCCCCCAAAAAAAGAGAAACTCCCAAATTTCTTATTGACTTTTTACCAGCCAGAACCCTGAGAAATCAAGGATATAGATTAAATGAGTATTTGTTAGTTTGAGGTTATATAACAGAGGGATCTGTTTAAGTAATTTTATTTCCACCACGATAAGGAGAAAACACAGGGATTGGCAGCTAACCTGCTTGTCGTGGTGTCAGTATATTTTCTGGCATAGCATCTGTTACTGTGTATAAAAGTAAACCAGTTGCTTGTCGTGTGAGCATGCTGGCTGATGGTGAATTCCAACCGGAACGGTGTGGAACAGGTCATCATGTATCTGCTGCCAATTTACATGATGTTCTGAATATCCCTAGGAAGACTGAGTAGTGAATGAAAAGTGGTCTTAGGAATACAAGTACCTATTACTGGAGACAACATGGAATTTAAAAAGGTAATTTCACTGTGGTGAGATGCACAAAATAAAAATCGGGGTTTTAAAAGCCATTTTAAGTTTACAATTCCTTGATATTAATTGCATTCACATTCTCTGTAACTATATTCACTACTCCCAAAAGGTTTCCAGCACCTTAAAAGAAACTTCGGGCCCCTTAAGCTGTAACTCTCCATTTCTGCCTTCCTCAGCTCCTGGTAATAATAAACTTCAGTCTGTGCATGTCCCTGTTCTGTTTCACTTAAGTGGGATCTTAAAATATTTGTCATTTGGGGTCTGGCTGACCTCATTTAGTATAGTATTGTTAAGGTCTGTACATGTCATTGTATGCCTTATAGACCCCACTGTACTTATCCCTGTGTAACTTTCCATTGTATATACATTTTGTTTATCCATTCATTGTTGGTAAATATTTGAGTTGTTTCCACCTTCTGGCTATTGGCAAATAATGAAGCAGTGCACATTTATGTACATGTATGTATTTGAGATCCTATTTTTAATTCTCTTGGGTCAATACCTATAGTGGAATTGCTGGACTGCATGGTAATTCTCCATTTACCGTTGTCAGCAACTGCCACCGCAGTTGTTTCACAGCAGCTGTACTGGTTTTTATATTGCCTCCAGCACTGCCCAAGGGCTCCAGTTTCTCCACTTCCTTAGCAACAATTACTGTTCATCTTTCTGATAACAGCCATCCTAGCAAGTGGTTCAGTGGTTTGCCCTCCATGTGTGAGATGTCTGGTTGATCCCTGTCCAGTGCACCTCATACACAGCCACCACCCATCTACCAGTGGAAGTGTGCAGGTTGCTGGGTTGCTGTACGGGTTTCAGGCTAAGACTAGGCAGAGAGGCCTAACATCTACCCCTTAACATTGACAGTAAAAACCCTGTGGATCGGTCATGTCATCTTTCATTTGCAAGTGGTCTTGGGGGATGGCACAGTGCTGGGCAGTCAAGAAGGTCTGAAGTGATAGCTCCCTGTACTTTTGATTTGCGTTTCCTTGGCGCTTTGTGGCAGCCTGTACCTTTGGAGATGGAAGAAAGATGGGGCCTTCTCTTGTAAAGAGTTACAGTCTCAAACCCACAAGGGCCACCCTACTCTGGTCCTATGTTGTTATGAGTTGGAATTGACTCAATGGCAGTGAATATCTTTGGAGAAATGTCTACTCAAGTCCTTTGCCTAATTTTTATGGTGTGGCTTACCTTTTATGTTGAGTTTAGAACTTATTTTTTAGGTCTGAAGAAGCAATGGGTGTTTCTAAAGTCTGTAACTACCTATAAATGGCTCTTTAACATATGTACAAGCTATTCTAAATGTCATTTGGAATCAGTCATGGTGAGCTGGTCATGAGATGTTATTTCATGCTGCTGTGGAACTAAGTCTTGAGTTTGCTGGCCATCTTAAGTTGTGTAACAATTCCATATGGTTTAAATTCTTATTGTGACTTGTGTTTCATTTTGTCTTTATTTCTTACACACTTTTAATATGGTGTGAGCCCTACAGTGAAGCTTGTGTGAACTGAGAACATCACGTTTGTGCTGGGATACAGCGAGACGATTTGTAGTACATAAAAAGCTATGTTAATTGTACTTTAGTATAATTATGAGCTACTATGACGAGTGGAAATCAGGAGTAATACTCAGACCTCTTAGGGATTTGGAATAAAGCTTTCTCTGTGGACTCCGCAGTGACTTTTTCTTGGCGACAGGCAGAAAGAGTGTAGAGGATCTAAACATTTTGTTTGGATTTGCTAGTTGAAACCCCTACTTCCAATTTTATTTTATTATGCTCTGCATTATAGGAGAGACTCTTTCTATGTTTGATACAGAAGTTTTATAGGTGTAGGTTAGTTGTTGCTTGAAAATGGTTTTCCTGAGCCACTGCCAACAGAGAATATGAAGCCCGCCTGGAAAGATACGGAGAGCGCATTTGGACTTGTAAGAGTACTGGCAGCAGTCAGCTGACGCACAAGGAGGCCTGGGAGGAGGAACAGGAAGTGGCTGAACTGTAAGTAACCAAGCATTGCCCTTCTGGCACCATTTTGCATTGTTAGGAAAAGGGGGGCGGTCCTTAACTCCAAAGCAACAATTGTATTTGTGAATATCCCTTGGAGTGAATTGCCTAGTGACAAATTGCGTGTCATTGTGGAAGATATATTTAGGAAAGTGTGTACTTCATGTATTAAGCTTTTGAGTATTACATTCTTGCCCTGTACTTCTCTACAAGGGCAAGTTAAAAAAGATCGCTACAGAAGCACAGAAACCTTTATCAAATAAGTTACAAAGTATCAAAAGAAGTTATTGGTTCGTTGTTTTTGGTTCTTTTAAGAAGTCTTCTTGACATAACCTCCATCCATCCAGGTCTGGACACCTGTGAAGGTGTTCCCTTCTTTGTAATCCTCTCCGCAAAGAATTCTGCGCCCCTTGATGCACACCACATCCAGAAGGCAGTTTGGGTGTTTGAGGGACTCAAATGGTTTCCTTTCAATGTTCTTTATGTTTACAAAGAAATTGAAAGTGCAAGATCAGGAATGTAGGCTGGATGGGGTAAAGTTTCCCCTTGAAAAATTCGTATAGGATGACCCTTGCCATCTCGAAGCATGTGCAGGTGCATTGTCAAGATGGCAAAAAATTCCTCCATACAACTTTCCTGCCTTTTCCATTCTGTTGAATGAATTATCACTGGTAGAAGGTAGGTTTTACAGGTTCTTGAATTGTTGGCAGAGAGACTAAATGGGCTCTAAATCTTTCTCACCAGTGCAGTTTTCAATGAAAACTTAAGTTTTAATAAACCCTGATACTTCCCGTGTCACTTGAAAAAATCTATCAAGATTACTCCTTTAGAAGATAAAAAAAACATTCCTTGTAACCTCCTGAGAAGACCTCTGTGCCTCGAATCTTAACTGTTCCATCAGATCCCCTGAGAAGTCAGTTTTGATTGCACCTTGGCTTTGAAGGCTCCCTAAGGAGACTAAGACAAGTATATTACCGAAAAAACCTACCTACAGCCATGCCCTGGTTCAGACATAGTTAAACACATGCACTTAGGAACTGGGATCCTAGTAGCAATACTTTCTGATTTCGCTCTTTACTATGCCAGTCCTCTGGAAATGTGGGTCTAGGCAAAGGAATCAGATAGAATCATAAGTAACATGGAAGCTGAAAATAAATTTTTGTATTTTATGATTATATAAAATTTCAGACTATTTTCAGCAGCTGTGGAAAACACACACAGTTAGGTGATAGTTTATCTTAATGGGAGTTTTTTCCCCGAAACCCTGTGGATGTTCAAAGTGACGACTTGTCTGGTTATTCTTTGCAAAAAACACTCAATTTGGTCAGTAAGAGCTTTTGCAGAAACTAAAGATGGTGAAACGGAACCCCGGGGAGTTGGTAATTAATCTGTACACCGCTCTCGCTGGTATTTCAGAGCGTAATGGCTTCAGCTGAGACCTGGGGTTCTTAACGTCATGCCCAAAAGCATTGCCAAATTGCTCTCCGAAATGATTAGGACATAGGGTAACCCACAGTGTGTTACACATTCGTGCCCTGTACTTCTCCAGGCTTCGTACTACTCACCTCATGTTGGATATAATAATGAAAACTTTTTCTAGTTTATGAGTGAAAAGTGGTACCTCCTTGTTTGACTTTGCAAGGACTTCAGAGTTCAACCCATGATTCCAGCTGTTAACCCTTTCTGATTGTCTTCATTGGTAAAATGAAAAGTCTAGACAAGTCACAAGGTATTGTGAGAACTGGATGAATGAATGTATATGAAAATTGACTGAAACAGTGCACAAGTAGAATCAAGGTAGTCTCCTAACCAATAAATTTATTGCAAAGGACATGCACAAATAATCCACACCTACAGCGAGAAAGACAGTGCAAGCACAAACTAATGGGGAAGAGTCCAGCTTTACCAGAGATGGGCCTGCTTTTTAAACTCAAAAAAGAAGACTCAATCCGATTGTGTCGACTCAAGACTCCTAGTGACCCTATAGGGTACAACTGCCCCTTTGGGTTTCTGAGACTGACTTTACCCAGCAGGAAAAAGCCTCCTTTTGAACCGTTGACCTTGTAGTTAGCAGCCCAGCAAATAACCATGAGGAAATTAGCCTGCCTACACCAATCTGATAAAATTCCTAAGTTTTTCGTTTTCCTTTGTACCACCTGGTCTTTAATCTTTGTATTCTCTTAGTGCTTTGCATATTCAGTATAAAAATGTTCAAATTGACCTGCATTAAATCTCTGCATAGGATTTTCTGCCTTTTCTTGGGAACTGATAATCTGTTATTTTAGTCTGAAGGAGGAGTTCCCTGCCTGGTATGAGAAACTGGTTTTGGAGATGGTTCACCATAACACAGCCTCCTTAGAGAAGCTAGTCGATAGTGCTTGGTTGGAGATCATGACCAAATATGCTGTGGGAGAAGAGTGTGACTTTGAGGTAAGCAAGCACCTGTCATTTTGCTTCTGAGATTTACTAACCACTTGTCAGGGCTGGAGCTTCAGAAGGCATTTGTGCATATGTGAAACTGCTGTATTTCAAGCCTGCTTTGATCTCAAGTACTGTATTACAAGGATCAAATTTTAGAACTAAATTGACTATTAGGGAGTATATAATATTGTGATAGTTCCTATACTGTGTACCATAGTACTTAGCTTTTTTTTGGGTAGTAATTCGAAAAACAAACAAACACGTTTAGACGGCTTTCAGATGTGTTTAATTGAATTCTGTTACCAATAAGCAAAGGTATTCAGTGTACTACACTAGGGAGATAGCTGCTTGTTTTCTTTTTTCTACTTGAATTTCCCAAGCCAACTAGTTAAAGAATAATCAGTACTAAACTAAAAGTTGTTGTTAGCTACCTTTAGGTTGATTTTGACTCTTAGCAACCTCACATGCTAAAGAACCTGTCCCACCTGGCTTATGTTTTAGGCCACAATCTTTATGGAAGCATATCTTTAAGTCTTAAACCACCAACTTTTGTACAACCAGGGCGTGCTATAGTTTTTTGGAAGCTCAGTGTAAGATTCCAGAGGAGGGGAGCTAACATTTGTCAAGTTCCTGTCCATGTTGGCTATGGTGTTGGTTGCTTTATAGAGTGTCTCGCAGCATCTTGGTCTGGTAAACTGACCCAGCTATTGAAGTAGCTTTTTCAGGTTTGTGTAAGGAAGAGTGCTGTCAGCTGTAAGTACTAAAATACCTAAGAATCAGTGGCCATTGCTTGTCCAACTTAGTGAAAGCCATCCCACTTTTATTTTTGTAGCGGCAAGTGAAAGATAAACTTCCAATAAATAACGCTGGAACAGTGGGATATATCTGTTAGTTGATTACAAAAAAAAAAAAAGTTCCTGAACTGTATTTACGTGTGCTTCTGGTTAACTGCTTGTGCAGTGGTTGCCGTTTGACCTTAAACATAGATACATAAATTAATTCCAAGAGAGAGTGATTTTTTATTTTAAGATGCCAGACTTTAACCTAGAAATCTGAGAAATAAAGTTGGGGGGGGGGAAATCACTGGACTTGATGACTAGAGTTCTAGTGAGGTTTTGTCAGGTGAGGTGGAATGTATATTAGATCATGTATACCTGCAGTGTAACCTGCAGTCTGTTCTTTCTCACCACTTGTTAGCTCTGGTTCTCAGTTTCTATTTATGATCTCTGATGCTTTCTCCTATCTTCTTTATAGGTTGGGAAGGAAAAAATGCTCAAGGTGAAGATTGTGAAAATTCATCCTTTGGAGAAAGTGGATGAAGAGGCCACTGAGAAGAAATCTGATGGTTCTTGTGATTCCCCATCAAGTGACAAAGAGAATTCAGGCCAGATTGCTCAGGACCATCAGAAGAAGGAGGCAGTTATAAAAGAGGATGAAGGAAGGAGAGAAAGTATAAGTATGTTTGATACGGGCTTTCTTGTGTGAGCCAGGAGACCTTCCTTGTTCATTATATACAAATCTCTTAATGTTCTCTGAACTTTCCATTTAAATTCTCTAAATTTGTAATGGAGTTTTGTCATTTTGTTGAATTATGGTGGCTTTTGTGTTGCTTTGGTGCTAGAAACAATGCCATTGGTATTTTAAATACCATCAAGGGTCTTCCATGTTGATCAGGTTTCACCTGTCGTAGTTATAGATTGTTGCGCTAAAAGAAGTACAAGTGAGTGGCTTTAGCAAACAAATACATTTTGTCACAGTGTTGGAGGCTAGAAGTCTGAGATGGGGTGCCTGCTCCAAGGGAAGGCTCTCTATCAGCTCAGGCGGAAGGTCCTTGTCTCTCTAGCTTCTCTTCTTATGCTCTTTGGTGATGTTCATGTGGCATGGTATCTGTCCTCCCCATCTCTCCTTGCTCACTTGGTTGTTTCCTTCCTTTTGTATCACAAAAGACATTGACTTAGGCATGGCCTATACTGGTAATATCTAACATAACAAAGCCATTCCTGAATGGGTCTAGGGGTTAGTATTTTACAACACGTTTTTGGGAGGTGAGCACAATTTAATCCAAAATACATCTAGCTTCCGGGCTTAAGGAAAACTAAGAAGAAAACTTGGTTATCTTCTTCCAAAAATTAGCCACTGTAAGCCTCACAGATCACAGAATATCATTCAGTATAGTACTGGGCAGCTTTTTTCATTCTGGATATAAGGTCGCTGTGAGTTGGAAATCAGCTTGATAGCAACTAACAACAAAAAGCGTAGAGCAAGTCTGTTGATGACAGTTTCCAATAGGATGTGTTCACTTCCTGTCTCTACATATACTTTGGTAATTTTCACAATGTTTCAAACTTTCATAATATTCAAAATGCCATTGCACATTTAGTAGACCACACACACTCCCATCGAGTTGATTCTAAGAGTGACTCTGGAACACAGAACTATCCCTTTGTTGTTTTTTTTCCTTTAAAAAAAAATCATTTTATTGGGGGTTCTTAAAGCTCTTATCACAGTCTATACACATCCATCCATTGTGTCAAGCACGTTTGTACATATGTTGTCATCATCATTTTCAAAACATTTTCTCTCTACTTGATCCCTTGGTAATCAGCTCATTTCCCCTCTCCCCAACTCTCCCTCACCCATGATCCCTTGAGAATTTATAAATTATTATTATTTTCTTTTTATTTATTTATTTTCCTGTCTTACATAGACCACTGTCTTACTTCATCCACTTTTCCCACTTTTCTGTTGTCCATTCCCAGGGTGTGTGTGTATTATATGTCAATCATTGGGATTGGGTCATGTCCCCCCCCTCCCCCGCCCAGCTTCCCTTTACCCTCCTGGTATTCCCGTTGGGTTTTTGAGTCTGTAAATCCTTATGGAAGCTGAAAGAGCCTATGGTCCTCCTGTGGAGTAGTTAGTGGGTTCTAACTACTGACCTTATAGTTAGGAATACAATGTCCAACCCACTGTGCGACTAGGGCTCCTTCAGAGGGTACAATGCAATGTAAACATAGCTTAGATGTCTTGGGAAACCAAAGTGTGTCTTGCTTGATGGGACGTGTGATTTGTTTTGGTGTTTGGAACAGGACGTACCATATCTATGAGGTCTGCCTCTACTTGAAATCTCTGAATAAGTCATATCCTTTCTAGGCCTTTCCTGCTTTTCTTTTAGCCCCTTAGCTTTTTCTACACTTTACTCGGTATTTTTCCGTACCCATCTCTCTCGGATTATTTTCTACATTCGTTTCTAAGTAAGGAACCCTGGTTGCGTAGTGTTTACATATTGGGCTGCTAACAGGGTCAGCAGTCGAAATCACCAGCCGTTCTACGGAGAAGAGGCTTTCTATTCATGTAAAAAGTTGAGTCTTGGATACCTATGGGGGCAGTCCTCTCTTGTCCTATAGGGTCACTATCTCTGAGTCAGAATTGACTTGATGGCAGTGAGTTTGTTTGTTTGATTGTAATTATATGCTATTGATTGTCCTCTGATTTTTAGCTCCTTAAGGTTCATCTTTGTTCCCAATCATCCCCTAGAGTAGGTGTTCAGTAAAATTGTGAGTGAATGAATGAATATAATGAAAATAATTTTTTCCCCACTAATTTTCATTTTTACTCATTTGACTAGATGACAGGGCACGGAGATCGCCACGGAAACTCCCCACTTCATTAAAAAAGGGAGAGAGGAGATGGGCGCCTCCGAAGTTTCTGCCTCACAAATATGATGTGAAACTACAGAACGAAGATAAGGTTGGTTGACATTTTACATCATAACATGTAGATCTTGTTTTAGAAATAATAGGTTTGATTTTCTTGAGAATATGGTACAGAAAAATGTCAGTGCTGCTCTTCTACAGCTCATTCTGAGTGACTTTAGTAAGTGAAATTACATTTTCTCCTCGGATATAGCAACTATTTTCCAACTTTTCAGGGATTACTGGGGTGGCCCACTGACTAAGCTCTCGGCTCCTAGCTAATTGTAAGGTCAGCAGTTTGAACTGCCTGGGGAAAGACGTGGCGGTCTCCTGGTGAAGATGACAGCCCAGATAGAAAAGCCCATGGGGCAGCGCTGCTCTGTCTCAGGGTAGCTATGAGTCAGAATCCACTTACAACCAACAGGTTTTTGGTAATTAGCATTTTGAACTTGAAACTCAGTTTGAAGAATAAGCATTTGTCTTTAGTAGTTAAAGACTTTTGAGAAAATAGCTCTATCCAATAAAAGAAGTTAAGACACATATGTTGCTACTCATATTGAGCCTGTGAAGATACAAGATGAATAGGTGCTATCAGGAGCCAAGATAGAAGTTACTTTTGAGTCTGGAAGTGGGTACTGCAAAGGATTCTGGAATCCTGGCCTAGTTTTGTTTCCTTCATCCGAGTTTGGAAATGTGGATATGTTTTGTTCCAGAAAGTGATTGAGCTTGCTCTTATATAGGCACTCATTTTTCTATATATAATATATCATAATGAGCTTGAAAATGGTATGTAACAAACTGTTACAATAGATTCAAGAGGGTCAGTAAGATTGAGGTGAGGCCCAAGTATTTGTATTTTAATATTACCATATGTAGACCATTGGCTCTCAAACTGATTTGGCCTACTGCTACCTCTTCAGGAAAAAAAAAATACTCCCTGGCAATTAGAAACTTTTGTATTATAGTCTTTAATTCAAGAGAAAGTGTAGTATCTTCTTTTAAAGCTCCCAGCACCTTCCCAGGGTGCACTGCCTCCCACTTTTGGACACACTTTATCCACTGCCAGGAAGTCGAACCCAACTCCTGCAACTCACAGAGGACAAGGAAACCTTTTTCTCTGACAAAGTGGCTGGTGGGTTTGAACATGGAGTTTGATGTCAGTGGTCTAATGCTTAAGGCATTGTGACATCAGGCCTCCTTTCTGATTGTGCAGCATTCCATTAAATGGATACATTTTAGTTTTTAACATCAATTCTTAGTAATGTATATTTAGGTAACCCCTCTCTTGCTTTAAAAAAAAAGTCTTTATTACAAGCAGTTGATAACTGTTCATTTCCCTAAGTCATTCTTATAGGAGGAATTGTTGGTTAAAGGGTATATGATCAATAGTTATAATTTCAGATACATATTGGCAAATTGTGTGTGTATGTATGTGTGTATATGTATCTATAAACACATACACACACACACACGGTATAAATACATATATGTAAATAGATATATCTTTAAATTGACATTCCATCTCTGAGCCTTAGTCTGCTTTTTCTGTTTTGTAGCCCTATTTTACAGTTGGTATTCTAATTTTCCTGGGGAGAATGTACATTTTGTTCTTGATTGATTTTCCCTCTTGTGGTGAGCTCTCTGTGTTTGCTAACAGATTATCAGCAATGTGCCAGCAGACAGCCTGATACGCACTGAGCGTCCACCAAACAAGGAGATCCTGCGATACTTCATACGACACAATGCGTTGCGGGCTGGGACCGGTGAAAATGCCCCTTGGGTGGTGGAAGATGAACTGGTGAAAAAATACTCCTTGCCTAGCAAGTTCAGTGACTTTTTACTTGATCCATATAAGGTAAGGCACTGTGAGTCCTTACACGGCACTTTATAGAGCCTTTGGAGGGCTCACTTTCTCCCAGTGGTTCTGAAAGGGTCAGTCTGATGGCCGACTTTGGACTCTTCTGTCAGAGCTCTCTTTAGCAGTGGAGTGACATGTATCTGCCTTAGTTTAACGTTTTCACTGTGCTTTCATAATTTATAGAGCTTTATACACACGCGCGCGGTGTTGTTGTAATCCTGGAAATGAAGATGGATTGATAAATATTCTGGCACCCTTAAAAAAAGATCCTAGAATGAATGTTGCTCAGAGTGACAGATGAGTAGAAAAGCTAACCTTTTCCTCTTGAGAATGATTAAGTGTTTAATCTCGTTTTGATTTTCAAACCATCCTCACAAAGTGGTGTGGTATATAATTTTCAAGATGTGGGAAAACTGCAGCCTCATCTCATTAGAAACAACAGACACCAAGACATTGGCCTAGGATTTTTCTTTTCAAGCCAATAGGATTTTTTTTTTTTAATGTTTTTTTTTGGGGTTTTGCAGGGTTTTTTTGTTACTTTTCTTTGGCTTGTGGCTGTTACTTGCATCTTGAGACCAGAATGGGTTTCTTTGCTTTGTCCTTTACACTTACTCTGAATAAATAGAGAAACCTAAAGTCATAACATCTAAATTACCCTAATTATGTTAATTATTCTGACAAAAGTATGGTGAAAAGGAATTTTATTTCTTCTAAACATTTGATAATGACCAACTATACTAGCATTTAGCATTATTATAAGCATTAAAAAAATAATTTTATTGGGGGTATTATAAGCATTTTTATACTTGTTAGCATTTAGCAGGCTTTATCTATTCTAGAACAACAAGATTAAGCATTATTTTCTGTTATCGCATTAATTTTGCTAGTTCCTTAAAAGCAAAATTGAGGACTCAGGCTAAATTTTCCATGCAATTATAGCAGTCCCTGGGAACACTCATGGCATAGTGGTAATGCATTCGCTGCTAATTCTTAGCAAGGTCAGAAGTTGGAAACCACCAGCGGCTTTACCTGGAGAAAGATGAGGCTTTTCTGTTTCAGGAAAGATTTACAGCTGCAGAAACGCACAAGGGTGTGGGAGTGGGCGGCAGTTCTTTCTGCTGTGTCTTATGTAGTGCTGCTCGCCCTGAGTTGAAATGGACTTGTGAGCAGTGAACTTCTTAGCTCACCTAAGGTTTGGCTTCCGTATTGTCATTGACTGAGGGGAACTTTTACTTTACTGCCATCTCACTGCTGTATGCCCTGGCTTTCTTTGTTTATCACCTGCAAGAGAACCCTGCCTATTAAACTTTCTATCAATGGGATTTATATTTTTGGGTCACTTGAGCCTTTCAGCATTTTCCTTTCTTTAAATCTTCTGTATTTTTTAATGAACTAATTCAAGTATTAACACAAAAGATTCTATTTATGTGTAAAAAGGTCATTGGAGTTTATTAGAACATAGAAGCTGATTCACACTTTTCTAAGAACCAGATGGTAGAATTCTAGGAACTTAGTGTCCTAAAAGGCAGTTTATAAAGGAATCTGCTACTCCTAAAATTCCTGACAAACCGCTTAAAATATTAACTTAAGAAAATTTGACCACGTGTCACAATGAGAATAGCAAATGTTAAGTGGCTTAGACAGATTGTTGTAAAAGGGAAATGAGGTTTATATAAAACAGCAGTCTATAAAACTTAGAGCATATACTCATGTTCATTATGCATTTTCCTTCTCTTACACAGTAATTTCTCATTTCCCAGTACTCTTTGGCATACTGTCTGCATGTAAGTTTTGTGTTTTTCCTTTTGTGAAATGAGCTGGCAACCCAGGCAGGTAGAAGACGGTGAAGAGCGCCGATAAATAGTCCCTTTGTCGTGCTTGGGATTCTTTCCTCACCTAACGGACATTTCACGTAGTGAGTTTGGATGAAGATTGATCACATATGGACTCCCCCTTCCCCTGTTGTCTTTTCTTTGTCCTTTAGTAGGATGTAAGGGTCCATGAGGGTAGTGATCATATTTACTGTTACGGAATGAGGCCTTGCTGGGCGCAAGAGGCAGCAAGCTCTGAGAGTCGTTTTAGGAAAGGATGGATGGGTAGAACTTGGGTGAGAGGGAGAAAAATGATTTAGGGTAATAGGTACATGACTATTGAATTTATTTCCGTAACAAGTTCCATTAGAAATAGCTTAAGAGAAAAATTAATTTAGAGAGAGAATGCTTTTCTTGGGAGGCCTTAATGACTGGGAGAAGTAATTCAGTAGCAGTCGGATGACAACGGTCATCTAAGATGAGCTCAGCCATCCGGATAGCTCATTGTGCTCTTGAACGCATCCCAAACCTGCACTTTGTGTCTCTCCGTCTTGCTCGTGCTTGTTGTTGTGCAGGGGAAGGCCTTTGGAGAGAGATGGGGGAGGGTACTTCTTCAGACATTTGAAGTCCTGGAACCTTTAGAATTAACACATGGTTCTTAGTGATTTTGTTTTGAAGTAATTTCATACTTACAGAAGAGTTGGCACAGTTGTATAAAGAATTCCCATGTACACTTCACCTAGATTCCTTAACACTAACATCTTAGCACATTTCTTGTTTTCTCTCTCTCTTTCTAAGTTGCCAAACAAAACAAGGTGCCTTTTTACAAAACACTGTACTTTTTCCATTTCCTATAAGCAGTGGTATTGTCTAACTTAACTGCATTGCAGTCGTCAAAATCAGAAAATGAGCACTATATACTCCTGTATAAGCTGAGTTTTTCAGCACATTTTTAATGCAGTTTTTGTGGTAAAATTAGGTGCCTCAGCTGATATTCAGGTTTCTTCTCGAGTATATACGGTATTTAAACAATGTTATCTATAACCTACAGCTTTTCCTCATGTTTTGCTGTTTCAAAAATGTCCTTTGAGCAAATAAAATAAAAAATAATTTTTAAAAAATTCTGGCCCAGGATCCAATTGGTATCTTTTTGACTCTTGAAATCTGGTTATGATCTAGTGATTAGAGCAAAGTACTTTAAAAAATAAATTAGGTTGGTTTTTCAAAGCACTTTAAAAATATTTCGTACTAACTCATTTTTGTAAATTCTGATATAAGCATGTAGAAGTTAAGACACTTTCATTTCGTGACATCTCCCTCAAACCCTCACACGTTCTGCGTGAATGAGCAGAGGGAAATAGTCAGACTCTGGATGGGCAGAGTTGTTTGAGGACTCTTGCTGCTTAGACTTGACTTCTTACTATTCAGTTAAGATTAGCATCTGAATGAACTGGTAGACATAGCATTTCTTCATTTCTATTTCAATTTTTAAGAAGTACTCCTTAGATGTATTAATGGTAGCATGTTCTAAGCAACAAGGAACAAATGTAGAGTTGTTCTCCCTTTCAGTCTCCTTTGGCAGGGAGGCCTTCAGAAGTATTCTTTTTCTGTGTGGTGATCAGGAAGGGCCTTTGTCCCCAGCCTTCGGCCTTGTTAATCAAGGGGTCTGGGCTTCTCTTCCCTTCTCCCTCCTCGTGCACTGTGACTTGTGCTCAGAGGCGGGTAGGGGACACCCTTAGCACATAAGTGGTTTTATACTTTTTCAGATCCCCCTGAGTCCAGCCATGCCGGCTCCCATTTGGCTGTGACTGCCCAGCATGCCCCGTGCTGAGATGACCCAGTTACTGGAGGACTGCTCATGCGGGGAGCCGGCCTGTTGGGAGGGGGTTGGGTGAGTTCATTTCTTTCATTTTTAAGAAAAAAGTGGTCTGGTGTGCCTTGCCCCCCCACACCAAAACAAATACACCTTATAAATTAAAATAAGTTACTTAGACCCCTGTCATGGTGAAACCACCCAGCTCACTCTTCTAGTAATTTCTGTAATGCTCTGCTTCTCAACAGAAGAAATTTAGGCTAAATTTGAGAAACTTTTAAGATCGATAGAAATATAGTTGGAAAATATAAGAAGTGGCCCGTGCAGAATTGACTCTAGTAACAGATAACAAAGTGCTAAAAGTGTAAAAATCTCGTCTCAAACTAGTCTCCTTTTCTTTTTAGTGACACATTTCATATTAGGACGGCTTTAAATTCTGCCTGTTTTCTGAGCCTTAGGAAAAAAGCATCCGTCTGTTTGTACTTCAAAGGGTTTCCAAGGCTGTCTGCAGCACAGTTGCCCATCAGAGACGTACGTACCCTTGTCTCCTATTCCTGCCAGGCTGGTGGCAGGGCTCGCTTTGTGATCTGTAGGGTAGCCTTTGGAATGCTCTTCTCTTTGAGTATTGCTGCTGGTACTACTCCTGAGGACGATGAAATCTCTCGTAAACTATAGTTGCTTATTCTTAACATTTTGACACTCATGCTGTGACTTCTGGGGCCAGCATCCCTGAAGAGTTTATAATTGTCTGCAAAGTTAGCCATCTTGGCCATCTCATCCTAGGGATAATTGTTGGAGAGAGCAAAACATGAAGTTTTTAATCAGGGAAAAGAAGCCATCAGTCAAAGGGATAATGACTTATTGCTATAATTCTTAACTTAAAGGGGTGATTGGCCTTTGAAGTTAGAAAACTTGGCCTGGATAGGGTGTGCCATGTGTAGCAGGAGCATTGAGACAGGATAAATGAAACCACTATTGTTAGTGATGTTTTTATCTTCAGGGTTTAGATTTTCCTTGGCATCGTCTTACTGATAGCTTACTTAATATTATTAAATATGTCTCTGCAAGACCATGGGTGTTCTCTGGGAATCATTTCCCTGTAACCTTTTCCCCAAGGGGTTCATCATTTCAAATCCACAAGTCTGTTTCCTAGCCTCCTGTCACATCTCAACCTAGCCTGCCCTATCCGCTGCCTCCAGTGCTCTTACCAGGTTAATCCTTCCTACTGAGAAAGCAAACATTCAGCAAGTCCCCAAATGCCAGCTAGGTGTGGAGCTTCTTCTGGTGGGAGACATCAAGCACTGTGGAGATGATTCGGTCTTCTGTCTCATCACTAGAACAGACAATTCCAAAATTGTACCCTTTTTTTGGCCTGTACTTTTTCATTGGCTGGTTATTGCCGTTGGAGTTTGAACCTTTCTCTTTAGGAAACATCAGAATCACAGGCCCCTCCTCTTGTTGGTTGGTTGGTTTTGTTTTGTTTTTTTTTTCCTCTTTTAAATCCACATCTAAATGGGAAACAGTATTATGACAAATAGACAGGGTTCTAACCTCTTAAACTAATTCTGTCTGCTGGGGATGAGTAGCAGGACATTGGGGGAGACAGGACAAGATGGAAAACTGCTGTCTAGAAGATGGGAAAGCGAATGGATTGACGTAGTTAAGCAACATCTAGGACCCATTTGAGGTCATGAATTTAAAGTGAGGTCACTTACTGTCTTTGTATATTTCATGTTTAAGCTGATTGTGGGTAGACCAGAAATGAGAGCTTTCAGTAATCAGATTTATAGTTTTGCAAAGAAGATAAAAGTGAAGATGATTAAAGCAGGATAGAAACAGTATGTTAATGCGAGAGTGATTTATTTCTTTTTAATAGTTTTACTGACATAGATTTCATGCAAGAATGGTTTTAGTGGTTGGATTTGGAAATGAGTGTGAGACAAGAAGGACAAGGTGGTGAGCCCGGTAAAAATAGAGAATTAATAGGTTTTCGGTCCTGATGAGAGTGAAGGATTGTTGAGCTTTGGTGCTAGAAGGAGTGAATTTGAAAATTAGCTAGGAGCAATGTCAAAGATAAAGTTGACTGCAATTGAGGTTTTAGAGGACTTGTGAGTTGTAATGTATTCATGAAAATGTGTGGGAGGAATAAAGTGGGTCTTAAGGAGCCCCAGAGGCCAGGGTCAGGAAGGTGGCCTTCCCAGTGGGCAGGGCTTTGTTGTGATATTGCCACTATTTAGATCAGGCAGCTTAATCTGGGCTTCCTGGGTGGACTCCAAAATTGTATGCATGACTGCTGTGAGCTCTTTCTGCAGACAAAGTTCATAGATGTCTAAGAGCTCCTAATCAATATATAAACAAAATTAGTTGGGTAGCTACACAAAGTTTAATATCTGTGGATTTTAAAAATTGGCTATGAAGAATTTTGTATTGATAATGGCAAGAACACTAGCTAACATTTATATCCTTGTTTTTTTTCAGGGACTGTGTCTGTGAAGAGAAATGAATATGTAACTTTAGTGGCTGGGGAAGAGGGTCTTTAGGATGCTTAAATAGTGCTTTTTCAATGTAGTTTGTTTAATTTTGCTCCTGTTCTTCAATTCTAGTATATGACCCTCAACCCTTCTACAAAGAGGAAGAATGCTGGGTCCCCAGACAGGAAGCCTTCGAAGAAATCCAAGACCGACAACTCCTCTCTCAGCTCGCCACTCAATCCTAAGTTGTGGTGCCACGTGCACTTGAAGAAGACCTTGAGTGGTTCCCCACTGAAAGTGAAGAATTCCAAGACTCCCAAATCTCCAGAAGAGCACCTGGAGGAGGTGATGAAGATGATGTCACCCAACAAACTACACGCCGACTTTCACATTCCTAAGAAAGGCCCATCTGCCAGGAAACAGGGGAAGCACACTGACAAGCCTTTGAAGGCAAGGGGCAGAAGCAAAGGTATCTTGAATGGACAAAAATCCACAGGGAATGCCAAGTCTCCTAAAAAGGGTTTGAAGATGCCTAAAACCAAAATGAAGCAAATGACTCTGTTGGATATGGCTAAAGGCACTCAGAAGATGACCCGAGCCCCTCGGACCTCTGGGGGTGCCCCTCGGTCTTCTAATAAACCTCACAAACACCTGCCTCCGGCTGCCCTCCACCTCATTGCGTACTACAAAGAAAACAAGGACCGGGAGGACAAGAAGAGTGCCCTGTCCTGTGTTATCTCCAAAACGGCGCGCCTTCTCTCCAATGAAGACCGAGCCCGTCTCCCGGAAGAATTGAGAAGCATTGTTCAGAAACGCTATGAGCTTCTAGAGCACAAGAAGAGGTGGGCCTCCATGTCGGAAGAGCAACGCAAGGAGTACTTGAAAAAGAAACGAGAGGAGCTGAAAGAGAGGTTGAAGGAGAAAGCCAAGGAACGGAGAGAGAGAGAAATGCTCGAGAGGCTGGAAAAGCAGAAGCGATTTGAGGACCAAGAGTTGACTGGTAAAACCCTTCCGACCTTCCGGCTGGTGGATACTCCTGAAGGGCTGCCCAATACCCTCTTTGGGGATGTAGCCCTGGTGGTAGAGTTCCTGAGCTGTTACTCTGGGCTGCTCTTGCCAGACGCTCAGTACCCTATCACTGCTGTGTCCCTTATGGAAGCCCTGAGTGCAGATAAAGGTGGCTTTCTGTATTTGAACCGAGTGTTGGTGATCCTCTTGCAGACCTTGTTACAAGATGAAATAGCAGAAGACTATGGGGAGTTGGGGATGAAGCTGTCGGAAATACCCCTGACTCTGCATTCGGTTTCTGAACTGGTGCGATTGTGTTTGCGCAAATCTGATGTCCAGGAGGAGAGTGAGAGCTCGGAGACGGATGACAATAAAGATTCAGCACCTTTTGAGGACAATGAAGTTCAGGACGAGTTCCTAGAGAAGCTGGAAACCTCAGAGTTTTTCGAGCTAACGTCTGAGGAGAAGCTACAGATCTTGACAGCCCTCTGCCACCGAATTCTCATGACATACTCGGTGCAAGACCACATGGAGACCAGACAGCAGATGTCGGCCGAGCTGTGGAAGGAGCGGCTGGCTGTGTTGAAGGAGGAAAACGACAAAAAGCGAGCCGAGAAACAGAAACGGAAAGAACTAGAAGCCAGAAATAAAGAAAACGGGAAAGAGGACAATGGCTTAGGCAAACCTGACAGGAAGAAAGAAATGGCAAAGTTTGAACCCCAACTAGACATGGAAGCTGAAGACATGATCAGTGCTGTGAAGAGTAGAAGGCTGCTTGCCATTCAGGCCAAGAAGGAGCGAGAAATCCAGGAGCGGGAAATGAAAGGTGAAGTATTAGGTGAAGAAAAAAGGGAACACCTAGAGCAGTGGTTCTCAACCTTCCTCATGCTGCAACCCCTTTAATACAATTCCTCATGTTGTGGTGACCCCCCCAACCATAACATGATTTTTGTTGCTACTTTATCACTGCAATTTTTGCTACTGTTAATGAATTGGGTGCCCCCCTGTGAAAAGGCCACTCGACCCCTAGGTTGAGAACTGCTGACCTAGACCGTAGTGAAAGTCAGGGAGTCACTTTGGTCTCTATCTAGTTTGGTCATCGATCACTATCTAACCCCCAGCACACCTGCTAGCTGTGTTATACTTTAGCAGGGCTTGGCATTCCTTAGTTAATGATTGTATGAATCAGATTAATGGGTGGTTTCTGCCTTTTCTGCGATTGCTGATCTAGGTTCAGGTCCTGGCTCTGATTTAGTTATATGCCTTTGAGCAAGTTAGTTCCCAGCCTGCAGTATCTGTGTATGACTGGTGATATTGTTGGTTTCAAGGTATTTGGAGCCCATAGCACAGTCACCAATTTAGACATTAAATCTTTCTCTTTAGGCTTCGATAGTACCCTGCTAGTCTGAATTTTTTTTAAGCCACTTTATTGAGCTATAACTCACTGCCATGTTGTGAGTTCCTAGAGAACCTAAAGACAAGATGTTTCTTCATTTATCTTGTGTAGCTTAATGGTGTGGTGTCTTCACAGATAGTGTAACCATCACCACAGTCAACTTGAAACCATCTTAATCACCGCAGAACTCTCACTGCCATTGAGTTGACGCTGACTCAGCCACCCTAGAGGACAGGCTAGATCTGCCCCTGTGAGTTTGAGACTAACTGTTTGTGGGAGTAGAAAGCCCCATCTTTGTCCCCCGGAAGGGCTGTGGTTTAGAGCTGCTGACTTTTGTTAAGCCTCTTATGAGCTGTTTTAGGCCAATCTCCCCTACCTCTCTAGGCCTAAACAACCACGAACTCATTTTTGGTATTTATAGATTTGATTATTCTGGCCCTCTTATAAATGGAACCATGTGATATGTGGTCTTTAAGTTAACATGGGTGTTTTACAAGTTCACTCATGTGGTATGTATCAGTACTTCGTTCCTTTTTATGGCTAAATGTTCTGTTGTATGAGTAATAGCATATTTTATTTTCACTATTTGATGAGCATTTGGGTAGTTTCCACTTTTTTTAAAAAAAGGAATGCTGTAAGGAACATTGTGTACAAATTTGTGAAGACATGCCTTTTATTCTGTTGGACACACAATGTAGCACCCACAAATCCCCAGCCCCAGTGGGAGTGTAGGGCTGGATTGTATGGTAACGCTGTAACAGATCAGAAACGACCTGCCTTGCTTCCAAATCGGCTTCACCATTGTGCTTTCCCACCAGCAGTGGTTGAAGGTCCTGCTCGCTTCTCCTCAGCCCACGCTTGACATCGTCTCTAAGTCTCACATGATGCACACACCCCGTCAGTAGCTTGCACTGTCCAGTTCAGTGCAGCCCTGCTCCTCCTCTTTCAAAACTTTTCCTAGTGAGTTGGGTGGAGGTTTACAGAGCAAAACAGTTTTTCATTCAATAGTCCATACACTTTCTGTTCCATGTGTGGATTGACGGGAATCTCCCCAGTGTGTTACCATCAACTTATCCCACTTCCTCCCTGTGTTTCCTGTTTCTGTTCCTCCTCCTCTAACACAAACGTTGCTCTTTCAATCATAAGTGGTTGGTTATTCTAAGGTGTGCAGATCTCCTATTGTTACTGTGTACCTAATAGATCGATCATTTGGTTGAAAATTGAGCTATAGAGGTCAGTTCCACATCTGAAGAGTGACAAGGGCCATAGTTTCGGGATCTCCCAGGCACTCTATGATTAGTAAGCCGTGTGTGTTTTACGAATTGGGGTTTTCTTCCACATTTTTCCCTCTCCTCTGCCCAGATCTTTCTGTTGTTGGTGGTAGCCAGACACTGTCTAGTCCCAGAGTCATGGAGGTTGGTATTTGAATGGTATGTTGGTTCAGTAGGCTAATTGTTTCCATGTGTCTTTGATTTTCTTGACTCCTCTCTCCAGGAAGAAACTAATAGTTGCACCGGGCATGGCTGCGCTCGACCTTGTAGGAGCCCAAAGGAGCATGTAGAGCAGAGGTTTCCAAACTTACTTGGGAACCTGTCGCCCCCTTTTCAGTAAACCAAATTACTTAGTGCGACCCTGGCAATTAAAAACTTGTAACCCATAACCCAGGATAAAGGTTTATTACTTTTTGCAGCCCCTCCCTGGTCCCTAGCTCTCCGG